TTTTTTTTTTTTTTTTTTTTTTCTCTTCCAGGCGAAAGAAGAGAAGATTACGGCAAACAACGATTGTGGGGATCATTTGGTTGGGGAACTGGAGCATTTGTCATCGGTGCTTGTATCAGCACAATCCAAGAACTAAACAACTGCAATAATCCACTTAACGTTGACTACATGCCTTGTTTCTACTCCTTCGCCATTCTAATGGGGATAGCTCTTCTTCTTGGATTTCTTTTTGAGTTCGACGACGCCAAACATAAAGGGGAAAGWTTTTTCAAGGGTTTCAGCAGCGTTTTCTGTGACTGTACTTATATCTACTTTATTTTAACCATGCTCTTCTGCGGCTGTGCGACAGGAATAATCCAGACATTCCTATTTTGGCATTTACAAGACATTGGTGGGACACAATTTTTATTTAGTTCCATTATAGGACTACAGTGCCTCTCTGAGGTTTTCATGTACTGTATTTCAGGGAATTTGATTCTATTCTTTGGCCATCACCGAGTTCTGTACGCAGGATTAGTAAGTTATGCCATCCGTTTCTTTGGATATGCGTTTATCACTAACAGCTGGTTCATACTGCCTTTGGAGATTCTTCATGGGGTAACAAACGCAGCAGTATGGTCTGCTGGGGTAGTATTCGTAGGGCTGATTCCAGGGGCAACCACTACGATGCAGGGTATACTGGGTGGGGTGTATTTTGGCCTCGGAAATGGAGGGGGTGGCATTATTGGTGGACTTATCGTCAGTCTTATTGGCTGTCCCTATACATTTCTGCTCCTTGGGATTGTGAGTATTGTAGATCTGTCTCTGTTCGTTCTTGTGAACAACTGTAATGCTATGCACTGCACTACGAAGAAGTGTGAAGATGATTCGGAGTCAAGAAATGGCGAATATACTTTACTAARAGACGAACTTAATCCAGGAAATTAAACTATATTTGTTGTTGTTCAATAAACATTATTATTATTGTTATCAACATCATGATTTTTATGATTGTTATCATTATTGATATTTTACACGGAATCGAAATATGGCGACCAATTTGAATGTGCTATGGTTCTGCACTAACTAGCGATTCAGGGACGGCGGAGCTGTTTTTTGATTGGGGGGGCTCAATAGTGACATTGTATGGCAAGGTGGGTGGGGGAAGGGAGGCTGAGTTTAGTGAAAATGTATTAAAAGTTCACAAAAAGTGGGAGGGCTAAAGCCCCCTCAGCCCCCCCAGTTCCGCCGTCCCTGCGATTGCATTGGCTGAGTAGGGAAACTTCTAAAGACTGGTTGGTTGGAGGGTTGGCTGGTGGGCTGGTGGGCTGGTGGGCTGGTGGGCTGGTGGGCTGGTGGGCTGATCGATGGGTTGTTGTTTATTTGTATGTCTGTCCATTCGCTCGCTCGTTCTGAATAACATTTAATTTCTTATTTAATTTAATTCACTCGATATCATAGGGCTGCACACAAAACAGTCATGTCAAGTTCAGTAATACCACACTCTAGGTCAGCTTGAATGAGTTTTTCTTTCTCTTTTAATCTATAAACTAGGCCACACAAAAGATATATAGAAAAAATATGTACATTATACTAAGTGGCTGTCTATACATATCGAATGACAAGCATATCTCATTCGTATATCTAATATTTCATCTATATTAATTCTAGTTTTTTTTTAGAACGAGAAAAACTAGTATATATATATATAGAACAAGAACACACATACCACACGCCTGCCRGTTAGCTGTGATAAAACTGAACCCGGCGTTTGATCAAAAAACCTTTCTTTTTTACTAGTTGCCATCTCTTTCTCGCTTTCTCTATTTTAGTATAGTTGTGAAGTAGGGAAAGTACTAGTTTGTAGCGGTTTTCGTATCAGTAGGAAGCATACGGTCCTGACTGAGCACGTRCATGACAAGCCGTAATTGAAATTGCTTATCCTCTGTCTTTCAGAAATTCATCCAAACACAAGAATGTTGTCTATGAAGACAATTTTGGCATGAAAGGAATGTGTTTTTGATTCTTCGTGTAATGTAAGCACCATACGTTTTGTGAAAATGAAGTATTACATTTAKAAATAAGAAGTGATTAGAAAATAATTAGCCTAAATGTCGCGTTCAACAGCTGAATTAATGGAACATAACTAATATTCTCTAGGGAAAAAAAGCGAAGCACTGAAAGAATTGGTACTGAATTAACTGTAAAGACCCTGTAAAGATTGCTTAGAGTTCCTTTTTTAAAGTTCTTTATTCCGTGTGATGCGTYTCTGTATTTTCACGCACTTGATTCGTATTCCAAGGATAAACACACGTGACTGGTCTTGTATCATGTGACCTATGTGRCGTCATCGTACTATTTGGATTCTGGTGGATGTGATGGCAAGGATCATTATGGAGAAAGTGTCCACTGTGGGACCAAAGAGGGGTACTCATTGGGTAAGACCAAGGCACGTAATGAAGTCCCCCATAAAAGTGCCCCGTACCTGGGCCATCAGCTTGTAARTGCCCAGAGGAACATAATGAGGATACCGATTTAAGCCCCATGGCCATTCGACGCCTCTTTGATTTCATTCGTCTATTTTGGAACCATATCTTGATGGTAGTTTCAGAGAGATTGAGAGCATTTGCAAGCTCACATCGTCGAGTCCTTGATACATAGTTCTCTCTTACAAACTCTTTCTCCAGTCTGTTGAGCTGCTCCCGAGTAAACGCTGTTCGATATCGTCGCGTTCGAGTCGTTTCGTTGTTGCTTGACACTCCTGTAAACAAACGAGAAGAAAAGTCTAGTCATATCAGATTTAACCCACCGACTCCCAAGACTTTTGAAACCTTAGAAAAGAATCTAAACAGCTGGAATTTTTTTTATGGAATTCTGATTTTATTAGCGGTTATTTTTTGTTTATAGCGATTATAAAAGCTAATAATATCTTAAAATATTTATGATTTAAAAACTGATTTCATAAAAAAGAGCAAATACGAAGTAAAAGAAAGGCACGCAGCGATAGAAAACGTTAGGAAAGTGGAATTTACCATGCACAAAAGAGCGAACACTGCGTTGGCCTTGATTTGTTCCCTATTCCTCCATCGCTTTGGGGGAATTCGAAGGTAAGACGAAGCAGGGCGAATTAATCCTAYAACTGATATACTACAAATCCCGCCATATCCTTGTATACCTCGGGGAAAAAATACTCATTGTTTYTTAAATTTAAAGTTCATATAATCCAAAGTTCAAAGACGGAGATCACGTTGTGAAAACATCTAGAACTGTGAAACAAGGTATCCGCTTTTCTTCCTTTGGAAATAAAAAGCATATGCACTAGAATTCTGTAACAAGTAAATCTTAGCCAAGAAAACCTTTAAAACATCTTTAATTGCGATCAGAAAGAAAAAATCACATTGATATACTAATTCGACATCTTCAATATCATTTTGAAGCAGATTAACTCGCATCACGGCGAGATAAAGGGAACATTTATCTTTGTTTTGTTTTGGGCCAGCGAGTGTTGTTTCGTCAGTGTTGTGCTAAATTCTCACGTGTAGGGGATTTTGGCATCGTAGTGATGTGTTCAAGCTCGAAGTCCTGAAAACTCCGAGATGGAAAAAATATCGAGTTTCGTTTAACTTTCGGCTTTCGAAGACATCGAAGAAGGGAAATTAAGAATAAGGCCGAAGAGAAGACGAAGAAAAAGATAGAGAAAAAAAGAAGTAGGAGAAAAAGGAGAAATGAAAAAGAAGAGGAGGATGAAGTACATTCAAGAACAACAACAGGAAGAAAAACGAAGAAGAAATAATATAAAAGAAGGCTTGCTGTAAAAAAGAAAGCTTAGAAAAACACAGAAGGTTGAGTAGAAAAAAAAAAGAAGAACCAGAAGAACAAGAAGAGGAAGAAGAAGAAGAA